TTCTACAAACTATTTTAGTCATTATACATACCACTGCATACTTTTCCAATTATAAAATAATAGACTGAATCTAAGACATTGTATAGGTGATTTATTTGAGCACTTAAAATACAATAAGAATAATTTTGAGTAATAAAAACTAAAAAAGAAGAGAGAAAAAAGAAAAGAAAAAGAAATAGCGCCAGAATTCAAATAAACAAGATTCCGCGTATCTGACTTTTGTTTAGTGGATGGACTCATTCTGTTTGTGACACTGTATGCTACAAAACCATGTTTTTTTTTACTACCAAAGACAGTTTTTTTGAGCGCAAGTTATTCCATAACGGGGTAACATTTTATAATAACGTTCAGTTGTAAGTCATTTATAAGTGATTATTTAATGATGAACTTAATCATTTACAAAACATGACTTTAAGTTCACAAATGATTAAGTAATATTTACAAATCTGTCGTAAGTTATCTTTAAAAAAATAGCATATCATGAATTAATCAAACAGATCCTTAGTAAATGGTTTATAAGTTACTAGTTAATATATTATTAATCACTGAAAGGTCAAAATTGTACTATTATCTCCCAGCATTAAAACTACTCCATGTGTCAGAATACATCTGTCTAACCCTATTTTAACTAAGGCCTAGTCCTGGCTTAAGCTAAGCCCCATTTGTGAAACCGGGCCATGGCGTATTTTAAAGCGGTGGACTTGAGTGGAGGGTCAAACCGGTTCACGTTATCACTAGATCCCACACACTCCACACAGAACACAAGTCCGTGCTGATGAGAGAAAGGATTTAACACAACCCACTGGAATCCCCACATTTATGCAGTGTTCAGACATTTCTATGGTATGTACACTAATATTATGTCAAATATGTCTGTGTATGTGTGTGTGTGTGTGTGTGTATAAACAAATAGTACTTTATATTTAAAGGAAAATGTATATTAAATGATAAAGATTTTTATTAGCTTGCACACAAAGCTAATCTCAAGGTCAAACAAATAGCCTTACTGAAAGATAGACTGCCAATTAAGCATATTTGTAGAGCATATTTTTTTAATAAATTAACTATATTTAAAGATGGGCTTAAATTGTACAGTGCCACAAAACACATGCAAACTATAGCCAACACAAGCTAATCTTGAATGGAAAAAAAATAAATAAACATTTCTTAATGTGGGCACAATGAAAATGACTATGATGCATAGTCCACAGTATATTTAAGTTCCATGCATGTTTTGTGTGAACACATCTTACGTTTTTAAAAGGAAAACATCGTCTTGTTTCACCATTACGCACTGTGGTACCACTTAAGCCCACCTTATGTGTTTTTAAGCCTATTTTATATTTTTCAATGAGGAATCCCTCGAATTACGAACATTGATACATTTTCTGATTTTAATAACAGTTGTGTGCTTTTACCTTACTAACCTTTTACCTAAACTTACTTTACAGAGAGGCCTACAAATTACACACTGTTTAGCATGTTATATTATGAATGTCTGCTAATGTGAATTTCAAGCGAGAAAATTACAAAAAAAGGAAAATAAAATAAGTAACTGTCCAAAATCATAGAGGCATTTCGCCTTTACCATGAGGGCACAATAAAACACTTGTCTATACTAGCAAACCATTTTGTAGTGGACAAAGTCTTTGAGGGAGAGAGTGTGAAGGCCAAGATCAGAGTTGATGCTCATCAGGTTGAATGTTATTGGTACCGGTGATGAGCGATATAGCAAACATTAGTAAAATGATGTTTTTTTTTTTTTTAATACTTCGCTCTCACTGAATAAATTTAATGTGCATGCATATTTTTTAATTTAAGATAAATCATGTACTGTAATAAAAGAGGATTTCGTCGAGTGAGTTGCTGATATTATGCACATGTGTTTGTATCACTGAGGAATTGAACGAGCCTGATGCGCAATGCAGGGGCCTGTACCATGAAGCCGGATTAGCTGGCTAGCCAGGTAAGATTCAGTTTAGTTCACACCAATCCTGGGTTTTAGGTACCATGAAAATGGCTTGGCTTTTAGCAGTGTTCATCGCCATAATAACTTCGCTCCACAGCTAACCCGCTCCGGGGCAGGTTATGTTCTAGTTTAGAGATCGCAAACTGAAATTTGACCAATCAGCTTCAAGAAAAGTGACATCTCTGATGCACTAAAGCCACTCCCCCAGTTTCTCTTGCTCCAAATTAAAGGGCACTACATTGTAAAACATTTTTAAAGAAAATCATCTGGCTTTTAGTGATGATGATTATTTATTATTATAATTATATGATTTATATATTTATTATAGCCTTAATCCATTACACAAGCCATACTTAAATAATAATGATGAATCTTATTTTAAATTACTATAAATATATACACATAGAATATAAATAAGCTTTAGAATGAATAGATAAAGCTTTAAACATGACTACATTTGAGTTTAGATTTTTGAGTCTTTTTATAATACCTATATAACAAAGTTGAACTTAAACTAACTTCACAAGTTTCACTTGCACTGATATGGCAAGATGTTTTCTTCTAGTTGTCCTCTTTCACTGACAGCCTTTCCACCTTGCTGTGTAAATGTATTTAAATTGATATTTTTCAATCGTTTAGTCTATGGCAGTAAATTGCGAGAAGTGAATCACAGTTAAAAGGCATGTGATTGGCTGTTCATTACTGATGTCATGCTTTCAAGTGCACGCGCTTCATTAACTCAGGATCAAAGCCTGTGTTGACGGAGAAAGTTGATGGTCAGCATCATGGTACCAACAAAGCCAGATTGAATTGGTTTGGTTTTGTCAACTCAAAAACTAATCCTGTAACCCTGTGTTTGTTCAGCCACTATAATGGTACAGGCCCCAGGTTTCTTCAATAGCAAACAAAACATGCTGGAAATATTCTTATGACTAGTTTTATTAAATAAGTCTATATTTATATTAAGACATGGACAATTTATTGTGGACGATTTATTGTGCATGCAGATCATATTTTAGGTTGTTGAGCTAAATCAAATGATTTTATAAAGTCCTGTTTAGACTTTTTCCTTTCCAAATACATTAGACATTTAGAAAATAATTTGTTTGTGCATAAATGTGTGCTGTAGGTGTTACGGGGCTGACGAGACGTGAGACTTGTGGATCCATTCGCAAAGCTTTTTATTGGAGAAGACAGAGACGTGGTCATAAAGCAGGCATGGGTCAGATAATGGCAGACAGGTATATGGTGGGCAAAAACACAAGAATAGTCCTAGGGCTAGCGCAGGTCAACGATCGGTAGACAGAATCAAAAAGGGGCAAGACAAAAGGGGTGAATCCAGGTAACCAGGCGAAGATCAGAAACCCGAGAAGGCTAAGGCTAAGGCTCTGTAGTGTAGCTATCACTTGGGGAGTGATAAACGCTGAAACAATACTCGGCCGAGGGAAGGGATCAGAGTGAGTGTTATATAGTGAGGGAGTGATATGAAACAGCTGGGTGCAATCAGTGTAACAGCTGTGTGCAATCTGTGCTGAGTGCAATCAGTGCAATGCATGATGGGGAATGTAGTCCGGGGTGATGTGCAACAGTGTGTAGTGCGAGAGTCAATGAAATTGGAAAGTTCATGGACCGGATTCGTGACAGTAGGTTTGAAACGTATCCAAGATGTAGGCTACTCAGTATTGGTCAGTCTTATGCAGAGCCTGGTATGATTGTGACAGCACTGATCTATATCAATTCTCCATTATTTGTTTTTATGAAAAACCTCATTATTTTCAGAAAAGATTGTTTTAACGACAATGTTTTGTTACAAATGCATATATCTTTTAAATGACACACTCTCTCGTTAAGACATTTTTTGTAGAAAAAAAAAAGGTATTGTGTAAAGCGCTACACAAATAAATGTGAGTTGAAATTATGAATCATTTCTCGGGCTGAATATCAAGCGTGGGGCATCTGTTGAGGAGTGTAAGTGCAGGGAGGGCTCTGTGCACACGTCAACTCAGACACTGATTTAATTATTACTCGTGAAAATCACATCGTTGTTCTTCAAGCTTTGCGTAGATGTGTTTATGTGAGTCTACACTCATAAAATGTCAGAGATGTGTTTTTACTGGAAACAAACCATACTACAGTACTTTGTGTAAGAATTTGCAAATATATTATAGGTTCATAGATGTTTTTATTGAGCCTTTTGCTTTTGCATACAAATCATCAGGGAAAATACAGTTTAAGATGGTGTTCATTTGAAAAACATGTATGAGAGACTTTGTTAGAAAGTTTGTTGGTTTGCAAGTAATGCAATTATTAACTTTGCAAAGTCGTACTTTAGTATTAATTGTAATAAGCACTTTAAACCATCCACTGTCTACAGTTTCTACAACAATAATCCCAGTTGTCTTCTCTATCTGTGTAGCACCACAGGTAATCTTTACCATGGTAGCCACAGGGGTGATTAGACCTGCAGGTTTGGTCATTAACAGTTGAGTAGCAATCATCAGAAGTACAGCACTTGTCATAATTGCCTTTATCATCTGTGTAGCACCATGGATGTCTGTAGCCATATTTTGCACAGGCGTGGTTGCTGCGGCAGTACGTCCCCTTTTTAGTCTTACTGTACTTCAGCGGAGGACTGCAGTAGTCCCAGCTGTTAGAGGTCCAGCACCAGTAGTAGTCCTTACCATATGTGGCGCAGGGGTAATCATCCAAGCACCTGTCTCCATTAACTGTGATGAGTGAGTACGGGGGTGAGCACCATTCCAGTGTCTGGCCTGAGTAACACCAATAGCTACTTAATTTGTCTATGAAGCAAGGAGAGGAGCAGCAGGGCTTGGTTTCACCTCCTGTGTTGCATTGACAGCTGTAATCAGATTCTGATACGCTTGAGCAGCGTGAGCCGTCAACTGCAGTCTTCTGCTTCTCTGGGACCAGCTGGCATTCAACAGCATCTGGCCCCGCGGATACCTCCCTTTTTCTGCGCTCATCATCCATTTTCCTCACTTGTGGCTTGGCGTAAGTTATAAGACAAGTACTTCCAGTAAAAACATTCACGTCCTCTGCCACTTTGTAGTAAGTGCTCATGCTGTCAAAGGACATCTTTCCTGTATTCTCATTCACCTTGACTTTTTTTTCAGGTGTGCCGTCACTGCTAAAGGTCCTCTTCACCGCGCGATATGTGTCTCGCATGCCTGAGCTCATTTGGTCTGCTTTGTTCACTTGTAGATTAATTAATTTCAGAAACACCTCCATAACCTTGTTTAATTTATTATTGTCACCAAAACAATCATCAGCAAAAATCTTAATTGACTGAGGAGTCCTTGAGAGCTCACTGTAGAGTCTGCTGAGTTGATCATTCAGGTCTGAGACACTCATCAGGCGTATGCCAGGCTCTTCCTGCTGGTTTCTCCCAATAAAGCCAAAGGATAAGGACTTACTGTCATTACGGTAGCGTTTATAACAGACAGCCGTCCAGATGTGAGAGGGCACCGACACACTTTCTGGGTCTTTAAAGGTTTCCCTCTGTGGTATACGTACATTAGGATCAGGTACTGTACCTGTGACAATGAAAGCTGTTGACTCAAAATCACTGACAAGCTTCTTTATTAAATAACCCCTCAGCGTGCTCTCCCAGTTCCTCCAGTGGTTACGGTTGAAACGCTCTTTCATAGGTGCAGCGTTGGTCAGTGTGAATGTCGCTTTACGGCCGTCTCCGCATTGGAAGCAGCTGGGGTTCAGGTGTCCACGATCATATCCCGTGCCCCTGTAGTAACTGCTGATGGCTTGATTTTCTTTATAAAGGTTGAGAGTAACTTGATCCTCACGGACCATATGATCAATTTGGGATCGAGGATGGGAAATCTGCAGAAGAAATATTATGTTATATGGTCATTTGATATTTTATTGCTTGTAGGAAAATACTTTTGGGGGTGTTTTTCCTTCTAAATTTCATACATAGGTGGAAAGACTCTCTTACTGTCTACATTGGTCTTTTAGTGGACATTTTTAATGTTTACTGTACAATTATGGTAAAACAATGTTCAATAAAGTACCATCCAATTCAATTTTAATTGAATGGGGTTTTTATGTATTTTTCCTACGGTTTGTAATGACAAAACATATATACACACACACAGTATATATATATATATATATATATATTTTTATGTGGCCAAGTATGGTGACCCATACTCGGGAATTAGTGCAGCGAACACACACACACACACACACACCGTGAACACACACCTGGAGCAGAGGGCAGCCATTAATGAAGACCAATAGTTTAATGAACTGATCTGCTTCTTATAGAATGCTGAGCTTCAACTGCGAAAGAAAGTCTTTTGTATTAAGCTCATAGTCACCTGTGGCTCGAGGTGCCAGATGTCTTTCCTTTCAGTGTCGCTTAGGCATTTAGGGTCCAATTTGTAGGCGCTGTAGAGAGGGATCTTGTGATGAACAGAGTACAGACTAGCATAATAAAAACCTCTATTTTCCAGCTTCTGACAGATTTTCTCAGCATTCTGGTCCATTCCACTTGGTTCTGTGCCTAGGTAGAAAAACGCATCACACTCGTTAAAGCTATGGACCACTTTTGCCTGAGCAGTGAATGCTCTCAGCACGACACAGGTGATCAGACCCAGAACAATCATGGTGTCAAGCTGCTCCTGTGTTATAGAGCAGAGACCGCAGAAGCTCCGCTGCTTTAAACACAGTCAGTCACAGTCAGTGATGCTGTTGTGGGAGTGACTGAAATTAACTAATGAGGAGAAATGAGGAATGTGATGGGACCTTCTTCATCATGGTTACGGGACTAATTTTAGAGCTGTCACATGTACAGAAACATGGATTTAAAATAAAACATTTAGGAGGAATATACTAATGTTGCTCAATAGTATGATGAATGCAGTGTTTGCAGTTTCCACTTCAGTTTTCTGATACATGTTGGTTCACTTCTGCATTTGGAGCTGGGTTTGTTTTTTGAAAGCATCTGTTTTTCCTCTCACTCAGGCTCTGTCTTCATTAGGCTGGATGCATTTGAAAATGGCATTTATTTTAAAACGCTCTCCGTCCACATTAGCATTTTCAAACATTTTCCAAAAGCTTCTCATCCACATTAAAACATCGTAAAATGTTAAACTGTGTATAACCTCACTGAGATGATACAGACGAAATAGACATATGTTTACATGCAATACTTCTGGCAGGATCATTTTATTTGCGAAAATATCTCATCATTCACTGATGCATCTCGCACTCACTCACCATTATATGTTTGATCTTAAACACAACCGCCCTCACGTTTTGCTGCAGGACAGCAACTGTGTGTACATTTTCTGTCATCTTTGCAGGCCCGTAATATGAAGAGTGTACAGAGTAACATATTTAGCAACAGTGTGAAAGTAAATAGCACAAAACAGGCACAATATCGGTATAAACAGAAATATATCGGTAATACGTGTGACTCTTTGACTCATGACTCTGTCATAAATGCAATTTATACATTAATGTGATGCGGGAGCATCCACTGTCAAGTTTTATCTGCGTTCAGCCCTTATTGTTTTTCTCCAGTGAAAACCGAACTGGGAGGACATAATTTTCCACATTAAATTTTTAACTAAAAATGTATTATTGTGGCAGTTGCATTAAATTAAAATAGTGTCCAGATATTATTAAAGACACAATCACACTGCAAAATCGATTTAAGTAGCCTAACATTTTAATTTAAAGATCATTTTAACTAAAAATCAGAGTTGATGCAAAGGAGGAGATTAGATTCAACAGAAACTCAAAATAGTATGATATCTGATCAACGTCTGTGAATCTGAGCTGATTTGACAAAAGAGTTGTGAAATGTTATGATAAATCATGAAAATATATTTTACGATGCAATGACAGACAGCACTCACACTCTGAAAAAAGATGGTTCTTTACATGTAGAATCGGTTCTATTTAGAACCACAGCATCCTGAAGAACCCTTTTATGCTGAAATGGTTCTTTGTGTTAGAGTTTAGGGTTCTTTATTCCTACCTTTGTTTTTCAAATCTGTAACGGACAAAACACACCTTACTGATTTTCTGGAGCTCAGCCATCCAGCTACACCGACTGTCAACACACTCTCAGCAGGTAAATTATTTCATAATTTAAAATACTAATTTAACTTTAAAACCGTAACTGGTTTCCTACCAAATCATGTCTTTTTCTCTTTTTAGTTTAAGAGAAGATGTAAGTGTGACCAGCTCTGTTCAGTTAAGGATACTTCTTTCTCCATCTCCACTAAGTAATAGATTTATTTATTTTCTTTTTATTTATTTATTACTTGGGTTTATGCATAAACGTAACATTGTGAAGTGCTCACATACTACTTTTGGCCTTCATAAACATAATTGTCTTTACATAAACAAATGAAAGGAGACATATCTAAACTCAACTGTGTATTTCAGATGCGGTCACATCCTACAACCTCGTTATCTGCAGAGAGAAACTGCCACTCAATCACACCAAAATACCAACCCATTCTCACTCCCAAGGCGTCAAAAACCGAAGCATGTTCAAGCGCCTTTAGCGTCACTATGAAGACGTCAAAGGTAGCCCTCGGAGTCACTACATAGATGAACTGGGACCTACATTGCTTTCAATCGGAAACTTTTGATGTCAGTACACAGATGCAAAGGGCATGAGAATGATGACCGCTATGAAATCACGTTCAAGAAGGGGCTGTTTCTCTTCACATGGTACGGACAAAATCCATATTATTGAGGGGAAGATGAATGGAGCCATGTACTGGGAAATTCTTCAGATGAATCTGTTGCCGTCCACCACCAGGATGATGAGGATAAGACTAGCAGGCAACTGACCCAGGCAATCACCAGACTTAAACCCAATAGACCATACTTGTGGAAGAAACTGAAGATCATGATTCACAAGAGGGTCCCCCAGAATATTTGTTCATACAGGAAGCATCTCGAAGCTGTCATAGCAAATAAAGACTCTCTCAACTAAGTAATAAATACAATTTCACAAGCATGTTCAATACTTTTTCCTGTGTCACTTCACTTTATTACACATTACTTTTTTAATGGATAGTTATATACTATTTCTAATATAATATTGTAGATTTCTTTTGTTAATACCAACATCTAGTCAAACTTTCATAAGAATTGCTGCATTGGAACAGTTTAATAAAAAAAATTAAAAAAAGTGTTGACGTGTTGAATACTTATATATATATATATATATATATATATATATATATATATATATAGGGGGGGAAATATATATAAATTCACTTTATTACACATTACTTTTTTAATGGATAGTTATATAATATTTCTAATATAATATTGTAGATTTCTTTTGTTAATACCAACATCTAGTCAAACTTTCATAAGAATTGCTGCATTGGAACAGTTTAATAAAAAAAATTAAAAAGTGTTGACGTGTTGAATACTTATATATATATATATATATATATATATATATATATATATATAGAGGGGGAAATTATATATATATATATATAGTGGGGGAAATATGTATAAAAACAAAGAATTGAAACCAGCTTATAGAGGAGGAGGAAAAGGAGTTTGTAAACACATGAAAGAGGAAATGTGGACGAACAACAAAATCGAAGATGACATGAACCACGCTGTGTCCGTTATACACACGCATGGCCAAAGAAAAGGCCTGAGAGTGTCATTTATAGATGAAGGTCAATCTGGCATGCAGCCAGGAAACACATCTAAACACAAGATGGAAAAAGACAAGAAAAATTAATAATAATGGCAAACCCTATCACGAGACTCTGTGTTGTGGGTCAGAGGAAGGGCCTTTATTAATAAAGGTCAAAGTGAACCGGCGCATGATCCCAGGGAACACATCTAGTGAGGTCACTTTCCATGATCACTTGGTCTGCATCTCTTTTATCACGCTACGCCACATACTACTCTCAGTGAGAAACGACCAGGAGTGGAACGCAGTCTTGAGCGAGTCACGATCTCGGCAGGCGAAGCTACTGCCCAAGAAGACCGAAGACCCACGGGAACATCAGCAACAAGGTCCAGTCCCACTGAATGTGAATGGTTCTAATTGAATTAATCTGGTTTCTCTCAAGTCTGCTTGGTTCTGGTGTTTTTTTAGGAATTAGTCTTGTTTGACTGACTGCTTCTGAAGTCCCACATGAAGTCTAAACTAGCCTTAACTGGGTCTCGTCTGTGCCTTTTAGCTCCTTTTATGCTCGAGTCCTTCAGAGATGAACCCTGAGCTCAAGCTTGTGAGACTTTCAAAATATCTTATTTGCCATTTCTAGGAACTTTTGAACCCACTGGTTGCTCCTATACAGCTTTATCTGAAGTATGTTAAACACTGAAACTGAATGCAGTATTTCAAAATACCAAGAAAGGTGTATTTACCATCTTACATAAACAGGAGAGAGTAATCATTTATTTCTAACAAACAAACAATTTCTATAACTCAAAAGTCAAATGGTATCAAACAGGTAAGATCAAGGTCTCTCTCAGGAGAAATTTGATTTGGATAAGAGAGAACCGCTGCACATCAACACATAAACATACAGCAATTAATAACCCTCCCAGTCCTACCGAAATCATAAAAACCGTACCATTCAAAAAATATTACTTAAAAAAAATAAGGCCACCACACAACACAATCCTCAGTTATCTAATACAGTGTTTCCCAACCTTTTTTTTAGTCGCGGCACCCTTTGGAAATGTTAACAAACTTGTGGCACTCTACAAAATTAATTTTGTCACAATATTTGAATTTCTAACTTCGATATGATAATTTGAAAAGTATAGATATTCGGTACAACAGGGAAGAACTGCAGAATATAATGTCATACAGATATTTTTAATATTATTTAAAAAAAAATGTCCATCAATGGTGGCAATCAGTAAGCTAATTTCTATTGAAGAGACAAATTTATATGACAGATTTTAATGTAGGCTTATGTACATATGTAAACATTATTTAATTACCATTATAACTAGCTATCTTACAAATTTTTGCTCACTCAGTGTTTTTTTTTATTTTACAGTGGGGTCATTTTGTTGCAGTAGCACCAGATAGCTTGATTTCAAACTTTGAATTGAATTAAAATATGACAAGTAAGCAGTCAGTAATAAAATAAGAACAAATAAAAATTAATGATAGCACAAATAAAAAAATAACGACAGGCCTTCGAATTAAATAAATTGCTTTTTAGTTTTTCAGGTAGATCTAACAGTAGGGTTAAGATATTTCACTTTTTTATTTTTTTTTACCAATTATCCAAATATTGTTTAGTCCTAGAAATCTATTATTATCAGGACACGTGAGCATAACACATGCGGTTAGCAGATCAATGAATGAGAGGCCAGCGTTACCAGAGTTGCCCATTTACCGCACAGTAGGGCTATTGCAGACAGAAACAATACTGTACTACATCCATGTTTCCCGTCGGCTCAGTTTTTGAGTGGACTTCTGTTCTGATGAGCATGAACGGTATACGAGTGGAACACACACACGCATCGAGCAGATAATACACAGAGCGTCACACCACGTGAAAGTGAATCCTGAGCAGTGAACTAATATTCGGCAGCCGAAATGTCGGTGCATCTCTAATTATTGGCGACATCAGAAATGGATATTATATAATAGATGCTTTTTTGAACATTTTGGCAATTTAAAAATATTTAAAAAATGATTTTTTTACACGGCACCCCTGCTCTCGACAGACCGCACCCCGGTTGGGAAACACTGATCTAATATATCAACAGATTCAGTTTTCCTTACTTTCCCTTTTAAGCAGCCAATTGCTCATTAATTAATTTAACAGGCAGTGGAGCAGATGATTGTTTATAGCGATTATGCCTGCACAATGGAAGCCTGAATCTTCTGCCAGAATTCATCAGCACATACTCAGGGTGCAACACATGAAGAGTCCAATAGAATCTTATTGGCCTGCTGGCTCATACACAACTCAAAAATGTCTCATAATGGACTGAGTGTCTGTATCCCAATACTTTTTTCCTGCCACTCTCACCAAATTATTTAATTGGGCTCTCATTTTTACTGTGAAACTCCCAAACCATGCGATAATTCCATATCTTAAGACAGACTCCATCGTTTCTTTAAAGAAAATTAGCATTATATCGCTACTCACTCCGAATAACCATCATTTCAGTCTCATTTAATAAAGAACTAGAGTCACATGTTGACTTATGACACACATTTATTCCCATACGCTATTGTCTGTGTCCCATGATCTAATGGAGAGTTTCTCTCTGTTCTAGAGGAGCAGCAGGAGACAGTCAAGGCTGTATGATAATGTCTTAAGGCATTCCCTCCCTGACCTCCAGCGATATGCAAGAGCTCATGGAGAGCGAGTCCATTTTGAGAGCACAGAGCCAATGTGCCCCCCCCACGCACAGAGTTTCCATGTGTTATGGGGACATTTCATAGGTGTAATGGTTTTTATACTGTGTAAACTGTATATTCTATCACCTTACACCTAAACCTTCTGCATTTTTAGATTTTCAAAAAACTTAAACCTAAAAAAAGTCCCCACAATATCCCCACAAGGGATATTTGGTCCCCATAACATGATAAATACCAGGTACACACACACACACACACACACAGACAGTCATGAAGATCACGTGTCTCTGTTCATGTGTCTCTGTCTCTCAGATTCACTTTCCAAGTTAAGATGGGGCCCGCTCCTTTCTCCCCATGAGCTCCTCGAGCAAAAGGGAGGCCGCTGTCCAAGCAGACTTGGCTGTCCTGATCGGGGAAGAGGAAAAAGAGAGCGTCGACCTCTTAGGTACACACACGGTTGAACACACAGCTTTTCAAAGTATACTCCATTTGATGGTGCACTATAGAAAATCATCCTTGTTCAGTTTTTTTTATTTATTTTTTTTTCTGGGAATATTCGGCAAAAGTGGTAAACTTGTTATGAAAGAGTTTTGTATTTTAACTCCTCACTCATGCACTCATCAACACGGGCCTCTGTGTTATTTTGAATCATCAGGAAGTTATTATTTTTGTTCTGTCTCCTTGGTTTCTTTTCCCGACTGTGAATGAATGGCCCGGTTCAGTGCTGACAGCTTGTGGAGAAACTAAGTAGTGTAACACAATTCAGAGCACATGTGCAAGCTGCAGTACATTATACACATGGTTACAAAAGAGGCGGTGCGTGTACATTAAAGCATACTGTTCTGATTACGCACAGTACACAAACCCTAGTGTGTAAAAAGTGAAGTATACTTTTGGCTTCACACACTGAAGCTCTTA